TTGGTTAAAAATAATACAAAAAATTATTTTTTTTGTGACATAATTTGCCGTTTGGTTTGCTTTGTGCACTAAAACTGTTTTTGATTTTGTCGTTTAATTGTTTTTAGTTTAAACAGCCTTATTAAAAAAAAAATAGGGACTTGGAAAGCGGTTTAAAAATTGGTTAAAAATAATACAAAAAATTATTTTTTTTGTGACATAATTTGCCGTTTGGTTTGCTTTGTGCACTAAAACTGTTTTTGATTTTGTCGTTTAATTGTTTTTAGTTTAAACAGCCTTATTAAAAAAAAAATAGGGACTTGGAAAGCGGTTTAAAAATTGGTTAAAAATAATACAAAAAATTATTTTTTTTGTGACATAATTTGCCGTTTGGTTTGCTTTGTGCACTAAAACTGTTTTTGATTTTGTCGTTTAATTGTTTTTAGTTTAAACAGCCTTATTAAAAAAAAAATAGGGACTTGGAAAGCGGTTTAAAAATTGGTTAAAAATAATACAAAAAATTATTTTTTTTGTGACATAATTTGCCGTTTGGTTTGCTTTGTGCACTAAAACTGTTTTTGATTTTGTCGTTTAATTGTTTTTAGTTTAAACAGCCTTATTAAAAAAAAAATAGGGACTTGGAAAGCGGTTTAAAAATTGGTTAAAAATAATACAAAAAATTATTTTTTTTGTGACATAATTTGCCGTTTGGTTTGCTTTGTGCACTAAAACTGTTTTTGATTTTGTCGTTTAATTGTTTTTAGTTTAAACAGCCTTATTAAAAAAAAAATAGGGACTTGGAAAGCGGTTTAAAAATTGGTTAAAAATAATACAAAAAATTATTTTTTTTGTGACATAATTTGCCGTTTGGTTTGCTTTGTGCACTAAAACTGTTTTTGATTTTGTCGTTTAATTGTTTTTAGTTTAAACAGCCTTATTAAAAAAAAAATAGGGACTTGGAAAGCGGTTTAAAAATTGGTTAAAAATAATACAAAAAATTATTTTTTTTGTGACATAATTTGCCGTTTGGTTTGCTTTGTGCACTAAAACTGTTTTTGATTTTGTCGTTTAATTGTTTTTAGTTTAAACAGCCTTATTAAAAAAAAAATAGGGACTTGGAAAGCGGTTTAAAAATTGGTTAAAAATAATACAAAAAATTATTTTTTTTGTGACATAATTTGCCGTTTGGTTTGCTTTGTGCACTAAAACTGTTTTTGATTTTGTCGTTTAATTGTTTTTAGTTTAAACAGCCTTATTAAAAAAAAAATAGGGACTTGGAAAGCGGTTTAAAAATTGGTTAAAAATAATACAAAAAATTATTTTTTTTGTGACATAATTTGCCGTTTGGTTTGCTTTGTGCACTAAAACTGTTTTTGATTTTGTCGTTTAATTGTTTTTAGTTTAAACAGCCTTATTAAAAAAAAAATAGGGACTTGGAAAGCGGTTTAAAAATTGGTTAAAAATAATACAAAAAATTATTTTTTTTGTGACATAATTTGCCGTTTGGTTTGCTTTGTGCACTAAAACTGTTTTTGATTTTGTCGTTTAATTGTTTTTAGTTTAAACAGCCTTATTAAAAAAAAAATAGGGACTTGGAAAGCGGTTTAAAAATTGGTTAAAAATAATACAAAAAATTATTTTTTTTGTGACATAATTTGCCGTTTGGTTTGCTTTGTGCACTAAAACTGTTTTTGATTTTGTCGTTTAATTGTTTTTAGTTTAAACAGCCTTATTAAAAAAAAAATAGGGACTTGGAAAGCGGTTTAAAAATTGGTTAAAAATAATACAAAAAATTATTTTTTTTGTGACATAATTTGCCGTTTGGTTTGCTTTGTGCACTAAAACTGTTTTTGATTTTGTCGTTTAATTGTTTTTAGTTTAAACAGCCTTATTAAAAAAAAAATAGGGACTTGGAAAGCGGTTTAAAAATTGGTTAAAAATAATACAAAAAATTATTTTTTTTGTGACATAATTTGCCGTTTGGTTTGCTTTGTGCACTAAAACTGTTTTTGATTTTGTCGTTTAATTGTTTTTAGTTTAAACAGCCTTATTAAAAAAAAAATAGGGACTTGGAAAGCGGTTTAAAAATTGGTTAAAAATAATACAAAAAATTATTTTTTTTGTGACATAATTTGCCGTTTGGTTTGCTTTGTGCACTAAAACTGTTTTTGATTTTGTCGTTTAATTGTTTTTAGTTTAAACAGCCTTATTAAAAAAAAAATAGGGACTTGGAAAGCGGTTTAAAAATTGGTTAAAAATAATACAAAAAATTATTTTTTTTGTGACATAATTTGCCGTTTGGTTTGCTTTGTGCACTAAAACTGTTTTTGATTTTGTCGTTTAATTGTTTTTAGTTTAAACAGCCTTATTAAAAAAAAAATAGGGACTTGGAAAGCGGTTTAAAAATTGGTTAAAAATAATACAAAAAATTATTTTTTTTGTGACATAATTTGCCGTTTGGTTTGCTTTGTGCACTAAAACTGTTTTTGATTTTGTCGTTTAATTGTTTTTAGTTTAAACAGCCTTATTAAAAAAAAAATAGGGACTTGGAAAGCGGTTTAAAAATTGGTTAAAAATAATAAAAACAATTAATTGTTTGTGACATAATTTGCCGTTTGGTTTGCTTTGTGCACTAAAACTGTTTTTGATTTTGTCGTTTAATTGTTTTTAGTTTAAACAGCCTTATTAAAAAAAAATAGGGACTTGGAAAGCGGTTTAAAAATTGGTTAAAAATAATAAAAAAAATTATTTTTTTTGTGACATAATTTTCCGTTTGGTTTGCTTTGTGCACTAAAACTGTTTTTGATTTTGTCGTTTAATTTTTTTTGTTTAAACAGCTTTATTTAAAAACAAGTAAGAAAGTCTAAGTTCGGGCGGAGCCGAACATTAAATACCCGGCGCAAGTATTAAAGATATGTTTTCCACCTTGCCGAAAGCTACCGCTACATGATAAGCCGGGGTGTATACATTTTAAGTAAATTAGCGTCCTTAAATTTCGACATATTGAAATTTCAAGCATTTCTGAAATTTATTGTTATATGAAAAGCGGCCGTAATTTAAGACCGATTTCAACAATTTTCAACGGTTTGCTTTTATGTGGCAAGCACAATAATCATACCGAGTTTGGTACAAATTGCTAGGTTAGCGAGATACATATATGTAATCACATCACAATCATTAGTATGATGTATCAAGGCCAACAACTGTGCCGAGTTTGGAAGAAATTGGTGCAGCGGTTACCAAGATATACACATGTAACCATAAGTGGGCG